AGTGACAAGGGTAAGCTTGCCGAATACTTTCTTAGTGGTGGGCACTTCTGCCCGCGAGCACTGCCTCGTGCCTAAGGTGAGTGCCCCCTGGCTTCCTCATTCGCTTGCCCGACCATCGTGGCATCCGAAGGCTCACACAAACCTTTAAGGGAACCCGTCCGAGGCAACCCGTCCGTCTGGGGGCCCTGCGGCGTCGGCCGCGAACTTGCCGCCGACCACGAAGGCCATGACGTCTGCGCTGCCCTTGGTGACAAAGTACCTGTCGTACACAAGCAGCATCTTAGAGCAAAAGTTTGCTCGTATTTTTTGCCTTACAGGTCCGCGCGCAACCGGGGAAACGGACCAAACAAAAAGGCCCTCAGGGATCAATGGGGTGAGAAACACGGGCCATGGTGCAACGACAGCAATGCTGCTTGACAGAGTCACGTATGCGTATGTGTGTTTCCGTGTGCCCATCCACGTCATCTGACAAAGTACCACATAGGATTGCAAGACGCATTAGGTGCATCTGTTGAACCATCCCTTTGTGCCCAGAAAAGTGTGCATGGCAATCATTCTGCAAGCGTTCAGATGGCAGCCGAGGGAAAAATGCAAAGTGTGCGCAGTGCACGCAGCCGCCAAGCGTCCCCGCATTCCAGAAACTCGGATAATTTTGACCCATGCGGCGTAAGCCATAATTCATTTGTGTCTCACGTGCGACATGCATGCTCGCACCAAGCTACCACTCAACACCAATCATGTGTTCATCCGCCAGGGGCATGTTTTCACCAACCACCTACAAGCTCGGCCATCAAAGTCTAGCAATACCGCGTTTCCAAGTTGGCAACTCGGCATGACACGATTCTGCGAAGACTGAACTAATACTACTTGCCTTGGCGAGATGGGGAGAGAACAATAGCTCTCCTCAAACTAAATGGGGAGTTGAGCAGCCCTTTGAGTACTTCGAACCACATGGGGACGTCCAAAGGGTTGACATTCAATAATTTGTTCGTTCGTTCGTTCGTTCGTTCAATCATTCATGCATTCATTCATGCATGCCATGCATGCATTCATTCACTCACTCATTAATTAATTAATTAATTCCTTCCTTCCTTCATTCCTTTTATTCATTCCTTTTCAGTCATTCATTCATTCATTCAGTCAGTCCTTCCTTCATTGTTTTCTTTCATTCCTTCCTTCCTTCCTTCCTTCATTCATGCAACCATTCATGTCATTCGTTCAACCATTTAATCATTCATGTCATGTCATGTCCTGTCACGGATTTTTAGTGATTTCATTTCACCTATTTCATTCATTTCATTTCATTTCATCCATTGGTGCCATTTAACTTCGTTCATTCCATTCCATCCCATTCACTCAACAGGCGTCTCAGTGTTAAGGCTACGTGCTAAAAGGTTTCCTCCAACCGCCGCGCATGGTCCTTACCACAAACACCTGCGAGTGCAGATTGCATGAATTGAGATGTCTCTTTGATTGAGGTCCACAACACCAAAACGAAAGCTTCTGGGTGTAAATCGCCAGGCGCACTTCAAGGCCCCTTCAGGTCACGCAAGATCCATCAGGCTCAACCCGTAAGGTTTGAGGATGTGGCGGAGCTTTCAGAGTTCATGTTCCTTGACCCGCAGGCTTAAAGTCGTTCAACTATTTCTCATTGCCCGTCTCAATTCGTCAAGGGTTTTACCAATCCATAACATCTCAAAGGAGATCATTCCTCCCTGATGAGCCCGGCTTCAAACGTGGCAGTTGTTCTTGCCGCCCTTCTTCAAAGACCAGCCGCCATTGTCCTGCAACTCCTGCGCCATTTGCCAATGCATGCGGCGCGTAGATGGGAAGCCCGGTTTTGCACCGCCCCAAGAGCCCAAGAGTCTAAGCCTGTCAAGGGGAAACCATTACTCCTGCAGAAACTAGAAACATGTGTAAACGGAAAAGAAGGGAAGCTCGATAAAAGAACTGATAAGCTTGTGTGCAAAGTTGGTTCTATGATATGCATGGCCGCTTCGTCATAATTGTCAGCATCATCGTCATCGTAATCATCATCGTCCACCTCATGATCATCATCGTCGTCGTCATCGTCATCGATCATCATCATCAGCGTGCTCGTCGTCATCATCGTCACCATCATTATCATCTTCATCGTCACCATCATTGTGATCTTCATCGTCAATATCATCATCATCTTCATCTTCATCATAATCATCATCAGCATCATCATCACCATCACCAACATCACCATCATCATCACCATCATGATCCTAAACAAATCATAAGCATCATGATCGACAAAACCATCAATTGCTGCACATCATGTTGTGTTTGGCTGCTTGCACCACGCATGGATACCTTAGCCCTGGCACTGCAAACAAACAAGCACACAAGCCGGCAAAAAGCAAAGGGCTTAGGCCGCCGGCTCCGCCTTTCCCTCAAACGCTAAAATGGTGTCCAACCCCAATGGCCCAAACCACTACCACAACCCCAGGCGTGTAATGGGACCTAGGCCACGATAAAAAGTCACGTTATGAGGTATCTCTTTTTCGGAAAGGGCCCCCTACGCGGGGTGGTTATTATTGTTAGTTCAGCCTTGCAACTGTCAATTGGTCTAGCTATCATAGAGACACTCAAAATTGTGGGTTTTCCAAAAGAAGCTAAAACTCAACACTTCAGACCCTAAGTCAGCCAAGATGGATACATAGGGTTCGATCTTTTGGCGTTTGTCCCAAGAAACAGATAAAAACTCGAGAAACCAACAAAACAACACATGTCAAACCCTAAGCCAGCCAACATGGATGCATGGGAGCTGAGTGATTGTCTTGTTATTGTGTTTGCGTGAAACACATCGAGAAACCCAAACAAGTCAGACCCCAACTCAGCTAATATGGATACATGTTGCTTGTGCATTTTGATTTTGTTCGTGTGCTTTCGACAATGTTTGCTTTGTGCACCCACCAATAGAAACTTAAGGAAACTGCGACTTCAATTCTATTGGGGCGCAAGGTTAAAATTTAAGGATGAAAGTAAAGAAATAAATGTGATTCCGACTAGACTCCGCATCAAAAACAAGCTACTCCTGTCCAACAAGATGAAATGCAATTAGGAAGTAAGTTAAATTTAGTAACGACACATATCATTAGACTGTCCATCTTGAGTGAGTAAATAATATTTGTTGTGAAAGATATGTTGATCAGCAAATGTGCTTCAACAAGGAAACAATTCAATTGTATGTTGCTTATCTTTCTATTAGGTGTTCACTCTCGTTTAAGGGGCGGGCCAAGTAGAAGAAATAATGAGTCTTTCTTGCTTTATGAAATTCCATTGAACATCGAACTAACTTCGTGAATAATCATACTTGGAAAGGACATAAACAAATGCAAACCGCCTCGAGTTTTCACAGATAAAAACAGCAACAAGACAAATCCATGTGGGCACAGCGGATCTGGAGACATGGGGTCTGACGTGCCTTTGCGGAAACTTAAGTTTTCTGTCCAAACAAGCAGTTTTGAGCACAACATCCAAAGCAAGCCATGGGGCATTCCTCTACTGACTTCCCACTTAACTAACATGTGCGCAATTCCCACGCATCTGTATCCTTGCGGGTCAAATTCTAACATTTCATTGTCCACCTGTTGACCTGGAGCCAAGGTCCCGATTGATTGCACCACGTATCGGACCTGTTTAGCCTCCCTGGAGAAATGCCCAGTTGGTGCTCTGACTAAAGAATGGTCATTTAGAACAGTTTGCCCAAATATGGGTATGGGCCAAAATAGGGTACCCCCAACGATGGTAGCTTCTTGTTTCCCTCTAACCTAGCCTCAAAAGGGCCTAACACATCACTGTACATAGGAAATGCCAGATGGAAGCTGCCTTTCAGGTGCAGCCCCTTTGCCAGTGGCGAAACCATGTCTTTGGATGCACCTTGCGAAGGAATCACGGAGCCTTTGGGTTCTTTTCGAGGCTCCGACATCGAAACATGGCACGGTAGGACTCCCTTTGCAGAGAATCGTGCACCTAACAAGTGTGTTAGACTGACCCGTTCTGATTGCACTTGGCTATCTGCAACAGGTGTGGTTCTCTGGCGTGCAAACATGAGTGACATCACGCAGTCACACGCTGGGTTGAAATCCGCCTTTGAACCAGGCGAATGCTGAGTTTTCTTAATGATCTAGCATGATCTAGCCTTCTTGGTTTGTGAATGTGGGGGTTGCAACAACGGCAACCTGTCGAAAAGTGCCCCTTGCAAAAAGGAAACACACATGGTTTGACACAAAAACAGTTCAGAGCAATCCCTTGACACGGAAAACAACGCCACCAAAGGGGTACTCGGCCTGCTCAACCCGGGTGATGTTCTCACATGTGTGCATGCTTTTTCTTTCAACATGCAATCCAGCCGCATTCCATTCAGCCTGGCCAACATGAATACAGCCTGATAAAGCCTACGAAACAAAAAAAAACATGCACCGTCAGAAAGTGCACAAACCCTTTTGGAAGATTGCACAAACTCCTTGTCCTTTCGACAGGGTACTTTATTTCTTGGGCGACCAAACTCATTCTTGCCCACTTCGCTGGATGCCCTCAATATTGCAAGCACACCAACCACAAAGCATGGGAAATCACAAAGTTTCCATCTTCTTACCTTGCATTACCCATATTTAGCGCCACCGTATCCCCCCCTCCATAATATGGCCAGCCCCCCCCCCCCCACCGCGGGCGCTCCGTGAAGCCACAGGCTTTCAAAAGGGTGGTGCAGGCGCTCACGCAGTGATACCTGGATTGAAGTAAACAGAGCCTTTTCGGAGTTGCCCAATTTTATAGTGGGTCCGAAATCCGAAATGCAAGGAAAACGGGGTCGGCTTTGAGGGGGCCCCTGGAATCCACTGAAGGATTGGGGCTCGAACTTTTCAAAGTTGTTGGTTTTTCCACCCGAATTATTTGGGTGACCTCTTGAACAATTCGACTCCAAGAAATGGGTACCCCATTTTTGAGTGCCGAAAAACACATGATCATATTCCTTTGGAAGCTGGATCTCGTAGCCCTTTTTTTTTGACTGACCGTCCAGGGGCCGGAGGACCTGAGGAGCGGATTGCCCCGCGAGACAGGGGCAATCTGGAATGTCCCCTTGCGCGTGGAATTGGGTTGCGGTCCCCGAACCAATTCTGGACGAACGAGCAGATTCTTCATGGCTTTCAGAAGCTGATGACACTTCCGGTATCAGTTGGCATAGTCACAATCAGACACCGCCCCAGTGTGGATACAAGCATGTACAAACAGCTTGAGGCCCTAAGCCTACAAAAAGTATGCGCTGCCACCAAATGGGCCGGCAAGATTACCAATCCACCAAAGCACACCTATTGAGAGAGGGAACACACCATCATTGAAAGGTCTGGGTGCTAAATCGGGGGTCGACCCACCCCCGTCTGGTTGCTTTTTTTGGGTCGTTAAGTTAAACATCATAGGCTCGAAGGCACCCAATGGTGCACCCTTTTTGACAGTTTCCTAGGGGAGGAGGAATTGGCTTAGCCACGCTTTTTCAGTGTGCTCTCGGGCCTCCAGCGAAGAGTTCGCGACCAACCCAGGAGCTTCCGGGTGTGGCAATCAGAGCCATTCCCCCCATGCCAGGGTCACAAAGAGTATGTTGCCAGCCCAAACTCTCAAACCCACTGCACTGAAGAAGGTGGTTGCACAAATGTGGTTTTGTGTTCACCAGCCACGCCCAGTGGAGTCAATTCCACTTGCCATTGCGACTCTAAGGCGCGGTGAGCCAGTCTGATTGACATAGTCGATGAAGCGCTGGGCTGCCTCGCCAGATCGAGGGCCAAGGGGCTTAAACAAATGCCGGAGGAAAGACCCTAACTCTAGCAATCTTCTCAAATGGCTCAATATCAAAGCTATAAAGGACTCTCCAGGGAGTGTCGGCTTCGCAAGCTGCCAAGGTGCTAAATGCTAAACCAACAAGAAGAAGAAGAAGAAACCAAAACAATGTTGCATGTGGTCTTCAACCGAACAGTCAAGCCCCTGCCTTTGCAGCTTCCACAGCCATGCCAACGCTAAATCTTGGATTCGCCCGTTGCGTGGCTGCAAGCCGAGAGGGCACGGCAAACCAGAAAGCAAGGCCCAAACATGAGCTTAACCACACGAAATCCGCATGAGTTGTGGCTGGTAGTACGGACAATCGTAGACTCTGAGGCACTTTCACCCCGAGAAGGGGCAAGCCAAAAGCTTGGCGCTCAACAGCCGTCAGTGTCTAGCCCCGGACTCACAACCTCACGACGACCTCACAAGTCTTAGTCGGGTCCGGTTCAGTTGGATGTCCTTGTCTTCAAGGACGTGCAAGTCGACAATTTCAAGGTTCTCGACTAGGAGTCAATAGAAGCGACAGTCAGATACAGTAAGGCGGAGGTTATTCACAACTGGTTGCAGGGCCCTTCTGGGAAAAGGCAGAAATCAGCAGCTTCCCTGTGAGGTGCTTTGTCCTGCTGAGTGCGACCAAATGTTCTAACGCGCCGGTCTGACAAGAAAGCAGGCTCAAGAGTACAGTTACGAGCATTTACCATGGATGTGGCAGACCAGCAAACGACACACTTTACCTGCGAAAAGAACCAGCCCATCGGAACTGGACGGCTCAAGTCTGGCCACTGCTCCGCCCCGCTTTTCTTCCCGTGCGTGACAACTTGAGCTGTCTTATCCGCACAAAAATACTCTCGTGAAACGCAGAAACGCAGCGCGGGAACTCGAACTCGGATGGTTTCTTAGCGGCATTTGTTGCACGCCACCAAATCTGGATTTTCGTGGGGGAGTCTGGGAACAAATCCCCTTTAGCGTCCTTTTGGGTTGTGAAACATAGGAGTCAGTTCGCACCCAAGAACTGCTGCTCCCCTTGAGCTTTACCTGAGATCCAGTGTGTAATTTGTTGCAAAGCTTACTGATGCAGAGCTAGACGAATCGCGGGAACAGCCGCAAGTGTGCTTGGAGTGAAGCTGTCCATAATCCTCAAGGATGCCATGCGGGAATTCTACACATCAACAGCACAACACAAAACATCCATTTCTGACAGCAAGAGGGATGCATGTTTGGCAGAAATGCAAGAGTTGCGCATCAGCCTTGAAATTAATGTCCTGCCCCGTGGACAAGTTGTGTCTTGAACAAACTCGACTAGCCCCTACAGGTCTATAGGTTAGCGTACGCCATAGTTTTGCTCATAGTTGGGCCCACAGCAGAGCGAGCATCACAACCCTGAACCCACGCAATCGTTCTAAGCATAGTCCGGTTGGGTCTGTTCTTGCTGACGGTACCCGAGCAAAACAGAACGTCCGCCAGCTGGGCGGGGAGTGCGTGAACTGGGGTCTGTTGTTTTTGTCGTCGCCCAGCCTTGGGATGGCCGGCGATCATTTTAGGGCGGGCTTTCTGGGTCCAACCAAGGCCCGGTTGCGCCGCTTTCAGGCTTCTCATGGCTTCTCCGTCGCAGCTTAACTGCGAGCTCAGATAGACAGAACACAAAAAATAATGAAGGGTTGAACCGGATGAAACCGGCTCCAAAGGGCCAACGATTTCCTTGAAAGTTCTGATGGACTATATAAGCTCCGAAGGATAGTAGTCATAGTTCCTACTTATTTGCAACCGTTTGCAATTGAGGCACTAGGCGCCACGTTCGTGACAGGAGTGATTTTTCGGCATGCTTGAAATAGAGACTCAAGTGCCAAGCGCGCCGAGCGTATTGACCGGAAGGGTACCCAGCGTGGTGCGTGGACAACTAACTTCGTGGTGAAGTCATGCGACGAATCACAAATGTTGCGAAGGGATGCCTTCTTGGCGGGCATGCCAGATGCATCCGAGTTCAGGAATGTAGTTTAGCGGCTTGCCGTTCACGTGCAAATCACTACATGAATCCTGAAGGCCAACTACGTACTTGCTGGTCCAGCAGTGACGTGCAGGTTTGATCATACTCCAAGCTTCCGTAAACGATCTCAACATTGCCAGCCAAACGCACTTCTCTATTGCACAATTTTGTCAGGTGGCATGTCTAAGCCTACCCTCAGTCAATGATGCTGTCACCTGTATTTTTTCTACACTCCTTGGGAAAGGATTCGGGCTGTGCTCAGCCGAAAGCTGCAGCACAGTATGTCTTAGGTTGAAACTGTATACAATTCCCGACAATATATGCAACTAGTGTCCAGCTCCACTCTCGTTCACCCTACCACACTCAAGTAAGGCAACAAACGCGATACCAAATTTAAACTCGAGAGGTCAGCCTTCAGAGCGCCCCTGCTGACCGCGCTGCTGTTCAACTACCCGACCTGCATTGATACAACTCTCCACAAGAAAATAAACTCCACATTAGTCCAGCGCCTAAAAATCAAGGATACCAAAACTAACCCGCCACCTATACAGCCTGAAACTCCACAGCTCTTGCGGACCCACCAGCTGCCCATCAAGATCTCACAAAGGCACTCAAACCTTCCCACCTGTCAGGCTCCACAGAAACCGCGTTCCCAATCCCCAGGCTGCATCGTGGCAATTGTGTATTTGAAGGATGCGTGTTCTGGGGGGGTGGTGGTTCTGGAGGGAGGGGGGTTGGAGAGGATGAGTGATGATGCTAGTGACAATCACATTGTTTAGTATTCATGCGGTTGTTGCTGGTCTTGCTCTTGAAGTGAACAGCAATGTGTTTAAGCATGAGGGTGAGCAATTGTGGGGTCCATTTATTGCGAGGTGTGTGTAATGTCGTGTTAGTATGTCTACTTAATTCAGTATTGAAACAATGGGCCTCCAAGGTGGCTGGCCCGGACCTTTTTGTTTTTTTTGGAAAAGCATGACCTCCTGCTGGCCAGGCCTGTGTGACGTGTCTGAGACTGGGCTCAGGCCTAGCCCAACCAGCAACCCAGCCAAGCAGCCCCAGCCTAACAAGGCTGGGCCGCGCGGGCTTGTCTGAAGCAAGGCAGCACATGTTTCTGCCTCAGCCTCAGCCCAGGCCCAGCCAAGCCCGCCTGTCTGAGACGCTCAAGGCCCGACCCACCAGCAGCTCACCCCAGCGCGCTGAGACAAGCCTGAGGCCCAGCCAGCCTAGCCACAAGCCCAGCGCAACCTCCACGCTAACACAGTAGATCAAAACTGCCGCGCGGCGGTGCGCATGGGATTTCCATCGCTGGCCGGTGCCCCCAGCCCAGCCGCCCAAGCCCTCCAGCAACCCAAACAAGCTAGCCCAGCCCGCCCTGTATGAAACGCCAGAACCTGTCCATTCCTGAATCGCCACTTGACCAGCTCTGCTGCTTGCAATCGAACCACAAACGCTGCACGCTCGGCTGAGCCGAGGTGGGCAATGCGCAGCGTTTACAATTATTCTCATAGGGTGGGGGGAACGCCTGATCAAATCCATCAGGTCTTCTTTCTGTATCTAAACACGGCCTACACTCAGCAGCCACTTCACACGAAACACACGCAAAAACAAGCAGCCGAAGCCAGCAATCAAGCACATGAACGCACGTCACTGCAATCTGACATGATCTGACTACATCTCGCGCTCGAAGTTCGTCGAGGGCGAGGGCCGGGTTTGGTTGCCGATCCATGTCAAACAGGAGAATCACAACATGGGCAGTTTACCTCTCCTTTGGCTTCACAAGAAACGAAGGGGGCACCCTTAAAACATATGTACCATTATCGAGGATTTGTTCTCACGGACTGCCCAAGCCCGGCCACGCCCAGCTCTCGCATTGCGGAAGCCGGACTCGTTTCGCCGGATGGGAAGTCGCCGGGTAAAGGCCGCTTCCAAACTGAAGCGTCTCGAGAAGCTGGAAACACCCTTGGTTTTACATGTTGCTTCTGCTGGCTCGCGTATAGCTGAAGACCTCCAACTTCGAGTCTGGACACAACACGATGAAACAAACAATCATTCACTCTAGTTGCAAACAAATGCAGAGTGTCCCGCCCGAAAGCCTGATATGCCCAGCTGCAGTCCAAGGCCATAAGTATGCATAAGCAAAGAAGCAAGGATGACATCAAATCTCAGGTTGGTCGTGGTTTGCGTTGTTTTCGGGCGGAGACCCAAGCGGACACGGAAACAAAAAGACCCCCTAAACCAAAACACGCCGCTTTTCCGGATGGCGAGTGCCTTGCCGGCGGCGATTGCTTCGCTCTCGCCTCTGAGGACTCTGACCTGGCAAGTGATTTGTAAATGCCCGGTATATCGCAAGGGAACAACGGAAGCTCTGAACATATCCTCACTTCCGGTGTGTGCCAAGAACAATCTGAACCTTTGTTTGCCAAAAGGTTTAAAGTCCAGGAACTTAGGAAGCCAGTATCTATGGTCTATGGCCGGTTGTTCCGTGGCCATGCCGGGTCTCACGTCGAATGTTGGAGCCAATCAATTGGGAGGTTGGCACGTGGAAAAAGAAGAAGAAAGCAGCAAGCGTAAAGGTAGGTTCACAGTAAAATCCAGTAGCCTGCTCTCGACAAACAGCTGATCCTATGGGGCTCCTGCTTTTGTCGAGGGTACGCTTTTTGGGGATGGTTTTAAAAAAAAAGGAAAGCCCCCGATTTTTGACACATACACATACTTCCGGAATCAAGTTGGCCGGGGAACATTGTAGCAACTGTACTCACTCGCGTTTGAAACATCGCGTTTGCGATCTGCCTGAGCTGTCATCATCCCTTGCTCAAAAGTCCTAAGAACAATCCCATGATTGTCGCAAAGCCAGGAGTCTGCTGTCAATCTGTTGCTTCCGTCTAGCTATGCTGCAAAAGCAAATGTCACTCCCAAAGGCGTTTGCGAACAAGACTTAGGCATGCGTCAAGTGCGGGGGTGCAGGGGTGAGTGAGTCCACTGTGCATGCTGCAAAACCACAAATCCCTTTTATTTGCGGGCGTCCTTTTAAAACAGGGGATCCCTAAAGTGGTTGGTCTCCTTATGGTTCTCTTTGGAGAAGTCCAAAACTCAATGCCAATGCGAATTCAAATGATGGCCACCAACCCCGACGTCCCACTCTGCGCGCCCCTTGTTGAAGCCCTCAAAACACCAGGCACGCAGCATGGCCAAAATCAGATACCAATATCTCGCCTGCAAATTAACATGGAGCCCAAAAA